ACTGGAACAGCAGCAGAGAGCACTGCCAGCGCCTCGGAGCTTCCCTGGCCACCGTGGACACGGAGGAGGAGGTGGTGAGAGCGGGGCGTGAGCCGCAGTGCCAACACAGGGGTGGGAAACCCACACTTGTGGGGCCGCACCAACTGCTGGCGGTGCCCCCAATTGGCCCCGTGCCACAGCCATGAGGAGATGCCTTGCAGCGAGGTGGGACCTGAGATGGGGGCCTGAGGGGGGAAAGTGCTCCAACGGCTCCAATCACTCCTGGGTTTGTTCACAGCAATTTATGCTGCGGTACCAGGGCCCAGCAAACTGTTGGCTTGGGCTGCACAGGGCAGAAGGGGACGAGCACTGGACATGGACCGACGGCAGCGCCTTCACCAACTGGTCAGTGTGTGCGTCCGTCTGTCTGGCTGGGATCTCGGACAGGGTCTGTTTGGGATGGGCTGGGATATATAATTTTTCCCTTTATAAACTTTCCCATTCTGCTCCCTCCTATGCTCAAGGTTCCAGCTGCGAGGCGGAGGCCGATGTGCGTACCTGAATGGGGACAGGATCAGCTCAGCCCTCTGCCACATTAAGAAGCTGTGGGTGTGCAGCAGAGCCGACAGCTTCGTCCTCTGGAGGAATGGGACAAATCCACAGTGACGGACTCCATCTGCAGCAATCTCATGCCAATGCTACTGGTCTCTGTGATGCCATCGGTGCTCACTTAACTCTGCCTCTTTCCAGCAGTGCTGCAGCTGTTCCCGCATGAAACCACGCAGCTCTGCTGCTCGTTATCTCTCAGAGAAGATGTTTAATTGCACTGTGCCTTAAAGGAAGGGTCCTTTGAGGGTCCTTAGAGGTCACAGCCCTGTGGGACGGTTGGGTGGGCAGGGTGAGGATCGCTGCCCCCGCCCCCTGGAGCTGCCAGGACCTGGAGCAGCGCAGCCAGCAGTGTGAGCACAGCACAGAGCAGCGCTGCGTCCTGCGGGGCTCAGCCAACGTTTCTTATTTTTTTTATACGTATAATTTAAAACCATTTCTTATTTAATTTATACATATAACTATTTCTTATTTATTTCATACATATAATATATAACCATTTCTTATTTAATTTATACATATAATATATAACTACTTCTTGTATAACTTTGTGGTATTTCAGTATCTTTATATAACATAATATTATATACAATAGAGAACAATATCATGTTACTGCTACTAATAATAATCGCCCCAAGTCTTCATTTACTGCCACTGTTATCATTACATTCCCCATTTTTACTTCTTTGTTATGAATCCCATTTATTAACGATCCTTGCCTCAATTCCCCCAGTTTTTATCACTGCATTAATACTGTTCATTACACTATTATCATTAATAAATGTTCTAGCAATTTTTATTATTATTCCTCCATTTCCCTGGTTGGTACCATTTCATTTCATGTTTATGCCATTATTAATAATATGGTGATGCTTATTACTCCAAACCCCCACGATTTCCATTATTCTCACCATAATTCTTCATTATTACTATCAACAGTATTACTACTACTATTAATAACATTAATAGTAGTATTGCCCCAACCCCCAGATCCTCTCATTATTATCACTACGTTTCATTTGTTATTATTACTGCTCTTATTATTAGTGCCCAACTCCCCATTTCATCACTTTTTCTCACTCTTGTCCCATTGTTAGGAGTATTAACATTATTGCCGTTATCGGAGCCTCAATTCCCCATTATCACCATCTGTGTATTCCCTATTTTTGATTCTTATCCTATTATTAATAGCTGTGAGACTTCTCTCATTTCTGCCTCAATTTTATCACCGTGTTTAATACTGTGATTCTTCACACTAGTACCATTAATAATTCATTCCTTATTAATTGCCCCTCTCCTCCAAAACTGCCCTTTTATTATTGCTTTTCATATTTCTGATCATGAACTCGTGATTAATAATATTTCTCTTATGATTATTGCCCCAATACCCCCCATTTTTGTAACTGCATGTAGCACTCTTTACACCATTACTAATAATACACTTCTCATTATTTTATATTCTGTGCCCCATCACCCGCTACTCTCTATTTTTGATGATTATTTATGCCATTATTAATGCTATTTGATACCATTATTGCCCCAGTTCCCACAGCGTGGTGTTACAAACACAATCATTACTGATCATCATGGCCATGATGATACACGATCATCATTAAGAGCTCCAAAGCCCCCATTATTGCCCCCATTTTTGGCAGTCTCCATTTTGGGTGCCCCTTTTGGAGTCCCCTTTTGGGAGTCTCAATTTAGGGGTTCCATTTGAGGTCCCCGTTCGGAGATCCCTTCTGGAGGACTCTATTCGGGGGGTCCCACTTTAGGGACTTCATTCGGGGTCCCCCGTTGTGAGGGGTCACACAATCACAGAGCTGTAGGGGTCGGAAGGGACCTCCGCAGGGCACGGAGCGCAGCCCCCACCCTAGCCGCTCCTCCAGCAGCCGCACAGGAAGGAAGGCGTCAGATGGGACCGCAGCGCCTGCAGAGGAGACCCCCCCAGCCCCGGGCAGCCCATCGCAGCGCTCCGCCCCCCGCACCGTGCAGACGTTCCTTCGCACGTCGCTGCGGAGCTTCCTGTGCTGCACTGTGTGCGCATTACCCTGCGTGCTATGCCCACAGAGCGCCGCGAAGAGCTTGGCCGCGTCCCATCGTCTGCCGCAATTAGGATGCCTACAAACATGGATCACATCCCCTCTCAACCTTCCTTTCCCCAGGCTGAACAGCCCCGTGTGCCCCCCGCACCGTTCCCCATAGGGAGCTGCTCCCGGCCGTGGACATCCCTGTGCCCTCCGCTGGGCTCTCTCCAGATGTCTGTCTGTTTGGTACTGGGAGCCCAGATCTGGACGCATTGCTCCAGGCGAGGCCCGAGCAGGGCAGAGCAGAGGGGAGGATCACCTCCGTGCCCTGCTGGCCGTTACCGCAGCCCGGGACTGGGTTGGGGAATATAATTTTTCCCTTTATAAACTTTCCCATTCTGCTCCCTCCTGTGCTCAAGGTTCCAGCTGCGAGGCGGAGGCCAATGTGCGTACCTGAATGGGGACAGGATCAGCTCAGCCCTCTGCCACACTGAGAAGTTGTGGGTGTGCAGCAGAGCTGACAGCTTCATCCTCTGGAGGAATGGGACAAATCCACAGTGACAGATCCCAGCCCTGCCAGCTCGTGCCAGTGCTGCTGGGCACTGCCATGCCATGGCTGTGTGCTGGAATCTGCCTCTATCCAGCAGTGCTGCAGCTGTTCCCGCATGGAACCACGCAGCTCTGCTGCTCGTTATCTCTCAGGGAAGATGTTTAATTGCACTGTGCCTTAAAGGGAGGGTCCTCCAAGGGTCCTTGAAGGTCACAGCAGCACGGAACGATCCCACGCTGCTGCCCCAGTGCAGCCGGACCCGACGCTGGGGGTATTTCTGCTCTCCTTTCGGGCTCTGTGTCACATCGCGGTGCCACCACTGTGTCACATCGCGGTGCCATCGCTCCCAACCGCCGTCGGACTTCGGCTCCGGGCGATGTCGCTCCCGGTGCTGTTACACGGCCGGAGCCCTGCAGGAGGCTTTCTGCACTTGCAGGTCTTGCTGAGCTGCTTCCTTCTGTACTTGCGCTGAGCTCTCATTAAAGTCGCTGTGCTTTCGGGTCCCCTGCAGTCGGTGCCGTTCTGTGGCTGCGATGGCAGCACCGCGTCCTCCTGTTGTGCCCCTGCAGCGCTGTGCGGGGCAGCAGGAAAGTGAGGGCAAAGCCCCCTGGGGAATGTAGTTCTTCTTCTCTTCCGGACAGGCACCCGGAACACGAGCATCAACAGTCAAAGCCCCAGTGCACAACATGATGTTATGATGTGGATGCCGATAACCAAAAATCAAAAAACCATGACATTCCACCCCTTATTCTACATCATGACATCATGCTTAATATATACAAACAAACAATAATTACCAAACATTAAACACACGCACACACAAAGCTATTTATAAACACATGGAATTACTGACTGCACTCCCCCAACATCAAATTCCCTTGTGGTACACCTTGAACCTCCCCGTTTTTCTGCATCACCCACCAAGTGGACCCAGGTCCCTGGGCAAAAACAGTTCCACAAAGAGGTTTGCCCTTCCCAGAAGCTGGAAAGACCCAAACTGCTTTTCCCAACATGTTCTTTACATGTACTACAGGGACCTTATCTCCCTTGACAGTACGTAGAGAGCTAGCAGGACCATCCTGATTGATTGATCCTCTGGTATTGACCAACCAGCTTCTGCCAAATGCTTCTCCCAATGCTTCAATGTTTCGCCGCCCATTAATTTCAGCACGGTTTTTAACAACCCATTGTAGCGTTCAGTTTTACCAGAGGCTGGTGCATGATAGGGGATATGATAAATCCGCTCGATGCCATGATCTTTGGCCCAGGTATTTACAAGAGAATTTCTGAAATGAGTCCCATTATCTGACTCAGTTCTTTCTGGGGTGCCATGTCGCCACAGGACTTGTTTCTCAAGACCCAATGCGGTGTTTCGGGCGGTAGCATGGGGCACTGCGTATGTTTCAAGCCACCCAGTGGTTGCCTCCACCATGGTGAGCACATAACACTTACCACTGCGAGATCGTGGCAAGATGATAGAATCAACCTGCCATGCCTCCCCATATTTATACCTTTGCCATTGCCCTTCCCCCCAGAGGTTTCATCCTCTTGGCTTGTTTGATTATGGCGCATGTGTCACAGTCATAGATAACCTGTGCAATAGCATCCATAGTTAAGTCCACCCCTCAGTCTCTAGCCCATTTGTATGTTGCATCTCTTCCTTGGTGGCCTGAGGTCTCATGGGCCCACCGAGCCAGAAATAATTCACCCTGCCAGTCCAGGTCTATTTGAGCCACCTCAATCTCGGCAGCTCGGTCCACCTGACGGTTATTTTGCTGTTCTTCAGTAGCCCGACTCTTGGGCACATTAGCATCTACATGGCGCACCTTTACAACCATATTCTTTATTCGGGCAGCAATATCACACACGTCAATTACACACATTAACAGAGCATCCTGCACAGCACTCTTTAACCGTTCACACGTGCTCAGCCAATCAGAGCTGTGAGATGTTGTTTCTTCTTCTGCAGGTCTCTTTGGTTCTCATGCCGCTCGTCTTGCTCCGCAGCTGCTGCTCCGTGCAGTTTTCTCTTGCGTTCCCACATTTCCCCCTTTTTTGTTTATTCGCAAACTTCTACCATATAAAATAATAACACTATTAATAATGGAATCATTATAACCGAATCAAGGCCTTGATTGACAATACTGCATGTGTGAGAAAGGAGACAAGGCAAACATAACATCATGACAAGAAATACTGTTAACCTACTAAAAAGAACAAACACTTGTTTGGTCTGAAGCCCAACTTTCTGCAACCTGGAAATAAATCCCCAAGGGCCCCATTCTGTGCTGATCTCTAACTGCTTTGAAAGAGGTCTTTATATATTTATATTTATATATATATTATATAAATATAAATATATATATAAACATAAACATAAATATATAAATATATAAATATTTATGAATAAATATAAATTTATATTTATATTTTTATATTCTGGTATATTGATTTTGAAAAATCACAAAGATTTGTACAACAGATGCTTTTAGAGTGCTCATGATGATGCCTTTGGGCTAATGGAAAATTAATAGTCG